TTGAAAAAATTTGGGAACCACTGCTCTATCCAGTATAATACACTGGCTCCTGTATATTTCTTCATACTAATAATAATAATAATCATGTGCTGCCAATTGAATTATGACTTATGGCAGAATTCTTTTCAGAGTTATCCAGGTAGAAAGTACTCAGAAGTGGTTTACTATTCCCTTCTTCTGGTGGCATTCTGGGACTGTGCAGCTTGCCCAAGGCCACACAGGTTGGCTTTTCTCCCAGGGGCATGGTGGTAGATCAAACTTCCAACCTCTGGCTTTGCAGCTGTATTCTTAAACAACTGAGCTATCCAGACAGCTTGCACAATTCTTACTGTGCCATTTTAAAAACAGAGTATCTAACCTTCTGCTATGCAGTCACAGAAACCAAAGCATCCATTTGTTTAACACCTAACATTTTTTTATTCACAGTAAGTTGTGATTATTTTGGGACAGTTTACAGTAATGTTAAGCAGCAAATATTGTGCTGAACTCCTCAGAAACCAGACAATTAAGAAGTGCATTTCTGTGTGTTTCTTATCTCTGGTTCTCATTTGCTCTATCTAGCAATCACTTAAAGAGGATATGTGAGGTGGGTGGTGGAAAAAGCAGCAACGGCTATTTCAGAAAAGCAAATGAGAGGGAAGCAGTCTCTGCTTGAAAGATACTATAAAGACACCTCACTAAAAATTGGTATGAAATGCCTACTAAAAACTACAGGCCATGAAAATTGTAGCACCCCCTTAATCCGCAGAAGATTTTAACAGCATATTCACATGAACTGGGCTTTTTATTTCTCCATGCAGTACAAAAGGCATACACACAAAACAATCCCAATAGTGTCTAACATAGAATTAGGACGCGGGAGATAGATAAAAAGGATAGCTAAAAATTTCTCAGTTTTCCAGTGTGAAAACCCCAGGTTTCTAGCAACGTTGATAATGAGAAGCGGGTTGAGAACTATGGTCACAATTATCATTGCACCTTCTTTCCTATTTCCAAACTGATGTTCACTGATACATCCTATGAGTTACATTTTAAAAACTAGCTAACTGTATTTTTGTGATTTTATGCAAGTTATATTGATGTGTTTTTATTGATGTAAGCCGCCCCGAGTAGACATAGTCTAGAGGGGCGGGGTAAAAATCTAATAATAAAATAAATAAATAAATAATGACTGTTCAGCTCTTTGCTTGTTGTTCAAACCGTACAGAAATCATATTTGTATGTTAAAATAAATAAATAAATAATGACTGTTCAACTCTTTTGCTTGTTGTTCAAACCTTACAGAAATCATATCTGGCTGTGACACTTGAAATGACATCGTTTCCCTGATTTAGTTCGACTGGATGGAAATAGAATACAATGTCCTTTTGCATTGGCAAAGCCCAAGATAATGTCCACATTAGGAATATATGTCCCAGCTACATAGTTTGGCTAGCATTCAGCTGGTGTGGCTGTGATACTAGCATAAGTTGGCCAGTTCGATAATCAAAATAAACAATACTGGGAGTGGCAAGGACAAATATGGCTTAACATCCTGTGCAGGGGAAGGCCAGAAATTAGCCTGTAATCTGCTGGTAAATCTCCGAATAATTGGCAATAGGTTGGGAAGAGCTTCAGGCGCCTGATTGCTTCAACAGTGCAAGTAGCAAAATGTTCCACCAAATGAGGCTGTTGCAGTGAAGTAAACCTTTGGATATTTGCATGGAAAGGCTATACAGTATGCTTAAATCTCCCTTCCACCTCCAGTGATGGATTATACTAGCAAAACAGTTAACTAAACATTCCTGCTGAACCTGATGGGCACCCATTCATTCAGCTGAAGCTCCCAAACCACAGGGTTTTCAAATCATGACATTCCACTGGCCCGTAGCAAATTGTCCCATTTACAAATGGAGGAGGATATTTCTGAATAAGGAGGTTTAGCATTTTTTTTATTATGAAATTTGGGACTTGCTATTAGCTATTAGTATTAGTCCTCATTTGTTTTATCTATCCATAATTAAAAGAGAGAAAACCCTTCCCTTTTCCTGAAATGTATGGAGGATTAGATCTCCTTTCTGCCAGGGTGGAAGGAGAAATTCCTTCACTTTGATAAAAGAATAAACATTTTATACCTCCTAAGACTCCCAATGGATAGTAGCTTGCCCCCTGAAATCTGTATGTTAAAAATGGTGGCTAATAGCAAGTGGGGGGATTATACAGTAAAAGCATACAGTGGGATCCATGTATAAAAATGCTCACAGTCTGTATAGAAGTATAAGCAGAACTTTGTGTAATGGGGGGAAAGTTCTTACAGTTCAATACTCTACAAAGATGGAATGAGACTACCAGTGGGAAAATGAAAAACTAAATGAGAGATGTACTGGTGGATTGTTGCCCCTTACCTGTTAACTGATGGTAAGTCACCAAATTTTTTAAACCAAGCATGCTCTGGATATAGTGTTATTTTAGAGCTCCTAGGGAATATAATAACATTTTTGAATGCTCTTCAATAATGCTTTATCCAGGGCATTATGAGAAGAATATGGCAGGTGATTGTTTCAAATAGGAGCTGTACTTGGATCCACAGTAGCCCATTGAATTATTTGATCAAGGAGAAGACTCACCAAATCCCCACTGGTTCAGTGAGCCTACTTTAGGTGTGACTCACCATTGAATTTCAGTCATTATGTGTTTACAATAGGATTATGAATACTTGAAGAACTTAAGCAAGTATTGGGGCAGGTTCTTCTCTGGATGGACAGCAGCTTTTATGTTTTATGGCATGTTTTCATGCACTGGGAGCAGGAATGGGGAGGTTTAAGTGTGTGAGAGAATCTGTGTATTAGAGAGAGCAAGAGTGTGAGTGAGAATTGGCTTGTAGGCATCCTTCAGTCTCGAGAGACTGTGGTAACGTGCTCTGTATGGAGGACTTGGAACAGCAAGTGTGGCTGAGAAGGCCAATTCGAGAGTGACAGTCCCTTCCACACTGAAGACAAATACAGTCTGTCCCCTGTCCAGCTCCCTGGTTTTGCTGCTTTTGGAACTGCTTCTTTGGTGAGAGAGAATAAGATGGAGGTAAATGTGCTCTTTTAGGATCTCTTTGTCCACTGAGGTGCAATCCATTCTATATCCACTTACACAGGATCAAACCCCATTGAACTCACTGGCATTTATGTTTGAGTAGTCATGTATAAGATAGCACTGTTAACTGACATCTTAAGAATTATTGCAAAAATGCGAAAATATTACACATACGTTCAATGAAAATTGATCCCCAGGCCTCATTGTAGGCATCCTTCAGTCTCAAGAAACTATGGTAACGTGCTCTGGAACAGCATTTAGTGTGGCCGAAAAGGCCAATTCGAGAGTGACAATCCCTTTCACAATTTTCTGAGAACAGAAGAATTCGAGAGTGACAATCCCTTCCACAGTTTTCTGAGAACAGAAGTAATAATCTTTCTCAGAGAACTGGTACTGTGGTGAAGCACTAAATTCTGCACCATCCTTACTTTATAGTAGTGGTTCTGAACTTTGGGTAACCCACGTGTTCTTGGACCAAAACTCCTAGAAATTCTGGCCAGCATAGCTAGTGGTGAAGACTTTGGGGAGTTGCACCAGGGTCTGGCCAGCATAGCTAGTGGTGAAGACTTTTTTTGGGAGTTGCAGTCCAATAACACCAGGGTTACCCAACGTTGGGAACCACTGTTTTACAGCATCATTACTAACAACTATGTGTAGCAGTTTAAAAATGTCTTTTGAGTTTACAAAGCACTTTTACTATGTTAGCTCGATATACCTTAGATAAATCGTCTGGTTGATATAATGATTCCTATTCTGTAAATGAGATGTATGCATCAGGCTATAGTCTGCGCAAAGGAAATCCTCCCCCCCCAGCTTCCCCTGTCTTTCTGTGCACCTGCAGCACAGACAGGGGAAATCTGACCAAAGGACTTCTGCCTGCTGTCCCCGAAGTCAGGCTTCTCCCCTTTTTCTATGTCTGGGCGGGCATAGAAAGAGAAGGGAAGTTGGACCCAAGCGATGCTACACCCTGCTGTCTTTGCAAAGACAGCGGAGTTGGGGGATCGCTTCTGTCAGGCTTCCGCCATCTTTCCATGCCTGGGTGGGCATATTTATGCTAACATTTATGCTTTGCTAAGACAGTGGGCTGGGGGGATCGCTTGGGTCCCACTTCCCCTCTCTTTCTATGCCCACCCAGGCATAGAAAAACAGGGAAGCTTGATCCAAGCAATCTCCCGCCCCACTGTCTTTGCAAAGACAGTGGGGGTGGGGGATCATTTCATAACTAATCATAACTTTTTCATTAGAAAACTTAGCTTAAAACAGTAAACATGAGCTGGGCCTAATTTTTTGAAAGATCTGAAGTCCAATCTGAATTTGAGAGATGGATGATTGGAGAGAGAACATTCCATATTTGGGGAGTGGGTGGAGCCTGAAGACATGATATTCACGAGGCGACTTTCTAGAGCTCTTCATAATTCAGTGGAGTTCATGAATCTCCATCCTATATTCCACTGAGTGCTCCATCTGAGGAATATTGTAGAGAATGGACAGTGTCCCTTGAAAGCTGCCATGTTTTTATACCAACAGCTATTTTTTCTCTCATGCAGTCCATCAGGAAACAATCCAGTTGGGGGACATTGTGAAAAACCAATTTGGCAGTCACTGGAGCCAAGGCAATAGGGGGATTGACTAGAGGGCTGGAGGCCCTAAGAAATCCAAGGTCCTTCTGAGACTACAGTAAACTGTGCTCTTTTTACATATTGGATCTGGAAGTTGCCAGTTCTAACCAGAAATTAATGTTTCTTTGGGTCTTCTTCAGGTGAAATTATCTGTGAATCTAGCTATTTGTGTGCTATCATATTTGCTTTACATGTCGCCATTCCTATTCTCTAGTGGTTTGTATAAGTCATATATATCATCATACACATGTGCACATTTCAAATGGATCTAATTAAAATTTCCTTTTACTTTTTGGTCTCTCCCACCCTGTTCTCCAGGAGTAACCAACCCTGTCTCACAGCCTATTGGAGATCCAAGTAGGTATAGATGTGCACACTTTTTAAAATTTTCTGATGATACATATCATATGTATCCATATTTGGAACTTTCCGAATTTTCGGTCTTCATGAACAGACCCACATTGAACACAGTGCAGTAATCAGAAGCACATGTTACCAGAGCATGGGAAACAAAATCGCATTGATAATAATGAAATTGCTTGCAGTAATGGTGGTGGGGAAATCATCTGTAATGCAACTGAAATTTAATACTTCTTCTACAGAAATGGAAAACATAATTGTAGCATACTGTCTAGAAGGCATTGTGCACATGGGGAAAGAATGGGAAGAAGAGATGGGAAACAAGTGAAATCCTGAAACATCTGCCACTCTTGTAGTGATTAGCTTGAATGGAAGCAGTTTGGGAGGTAGCTTGGAAAAGTCACTTTTTGGATTACAGTTCCTAGAATCCCCAAGTAGAAATGGGCACAAACTGGTTCATCCCAGTTTATAAACACAGCAGCGCAGGTCGTGCTGCTGACTTCCCCTGACTCTTCTGGCTCACCAGACTCAACTTGCTTGCTTTTTCTGACTCCTCAACTGTTCTTCCAGTCCCAGGAATAGCCGAGGCTTCTCAGCCCCACCTCCTTGCCTGATCTCCCACGTGTGCAAAAGGGCGGGGCAGAGAAGTCTATGCTCTTGCTCATGCCTGGAAGATTAGCTGAGGAGGTGGGAAAAAACAGCAGCAACCAAGCAAGCTGGATCCGCTGAGTGGCTGTTTGAGGCAGAGGAGGCAGGGAGGGAAGCAGCAGCACCTGTGCTGCTGGCTTTAGGAACTGGGATGAACTGGTTTGTGCCCATCTCAAATATCCATCCACTAGAACTGTTTGGGGGTTGCAGTTAAAAAAATGAATGGTGGGACAGGTCCCCTGATCCTTCTGCCTATGAGAGGGGGCTTTCCACCTCCCTTTGAGTCAGGGTGAGATTCCTGACCCACAGATCACCTGCATTGGCAGTGGAGACATAGACAAGTGTCCATGAGTCCACAGGTGTAGTGATGGTTGGGATGAAAGGGGAAGCAGGAGGGTGGAACTATTGTGCTGATGCTAGGGACTGAGAGATGTTCAAGGCCCAGGAGGTACTGCCATTGCTGAAGTGGTCAATGGGCGGATGGAGACTATCCACCACTGTGATCTTGACGCCGGATGCTGGGAGGAGTTTCTAGTGCCACCCAAGGAGGCCGAGAGGCTCAGAGGCTTGAGAACCAAAGATGGGCACACTGCTGGCAGGGGAAGCCATGGGGCCCAGCAGTCCTGGAGCAGAGACTTCCTGGCCAGCCTACTCATAGCCAGTTGGGCAGCTCTTCTCCTATACCTCCTCCTTCTGCAGCACAACACACTGGAGAGCCTAGGCAGGTGTGTCCCTCTTGAGAGTATTACTGGACCTGCAGGGCCACTGTCATTGGTGGCAACTATGGAGGCATAGCAGGAGAAAGAGCTCACCCCCAAGAACAGCTGACTGACTCACTGTCATTGGTGGCAACTATGGAGGCATAGCAGGGGAAAGAGCTCACCCCCACCCCCACCCCCAAGAACAGCCGACTGACTGCATACAGCATCTGTGTGGTGGCACTCCCTGCCTAACTCACCCGAGAGGTGTTCTTGAGCTGGCAGAGGAGGTGGGGCTCTGTTTTTCACCTTGTGAAAGCCCGGTAAGACGTTTCTCTTACCTGAGAGACCGTGGGAGTGAAGTCAACTCCTTGGTGCCCTACAGTTACTAAGTCTTGCTGTTTGGCCCTCTTGGCATTTTAAGGAGTTCTGTTGCTCTAATACAGAGCTTGTTTCTGCAAGCACTTATCGTGTCATTATGGAATCGGGTGGGCAGCCCTCACAGTAACTTTTCCAAGCATCTGCTTCAGGGAGATTAGGCACCCTATTCCTGAGAGCCAGCCAGATTGTGTAAGCTCTGTGGCCCCACTCCCCACCAGTGCTGTAATAGGATCCCATGGCTGTGCTCCATCTTGGAAATATATGAAACATACTCTCAGTGTAGGCATACCTAGGATCATGGTTTCGATTGTTGTCTAGTCTAGCCTGCATCTGCGGATGTATTCATGTAATAAACAGAAAGACACATCGTGTTTACTCAGTGAGACTGAGTAAACTTAGTCATGACTCTCTTCTGTCCAGATTCCAGTTAGTACCCAGTACGATATTATGCTATATTTTTAAAAACAACTTACACTTTTCTTCTGGACTTTCAAAGAGAACGACAAACTGACCTCCCCTGATACAATGTAAAGGAATAAATCACCTGGTGAAATGCAGGCTGCATTTTTGGAATCTCTGCGCCCACCCCCCTACCCCATCCCTGCCACCCCCACCCCTCAACACACCTCTTTTGTTCTGTCAATCTGAATAGAAGTGCTCATGTGATGTAATTTAGAACAGAGCTTGCTTTCCTTTCTTGCTCTCTCTCTCTCTCTCTCTCTCTCTCTCTTTTAAAGAAAAGCTTTCAGTCAGGAAAAGCTTCGGGAGCTCTGGGGGTATAGCTTAGCTCAAAGAATGAGAAAGAAAGCAAGTTTGCATTGACAGCTTGATCCCACAGAGAGGTGGCTGGCTGCTTGTCTAACAGGTCCTCTGGGTCTTGATGAGGCAGAGGCAGAGGAACGAGTCATATTAAGTGAGCGTGCACTGGCAGTGCTCAAGGAACAATTACCATTATTCTGCATAGTTCACTGTTTGCTGCTGCTATTTCCTTCAATAAAACCCTCTTTTCACTTGCCAATTGGAGCTTGTCATGTAACAATATTTCGCATGCACAATACACAGAAGTAAAATGCCCTTGTGTTTTTAACACATTTGGAGTCATGAACAATGGAGGTATACTGACAGCAAAAAAGTGCTTGCTTTGAATATAGAACAGATACCGAAAGAGGGGAAAGACCAAGATCGCTCTTCAAGTCAGAAATAAAGGTGGAGTTCTATCTAATTTTGGTAAAATAGCAGTTAAATCTTATGCATAACTTTCTTGGTATTACTACACTCCATAAGCAATATTTAAGGTACTTCTAACTTCCGGTGTGGCAGTTGAATTCCCCATTGTGCCTCCTAGGGGAAGAGCCAGGCTGTGTAGCCTTGGGCAAGCTGCAGAGTCCCAGGATGCCCCCACAAGAAGGGAAGCGTAAACCACTTCTGAGTGTTCTCTACTGGGAAAACCATGGAAAGAGTCGCCATCAGTCAGAATTGACTTGACAGCATTCAATTATGATTATAACTTCCAATGATAAGCAAGTATCTACCTCTTGATAGACTACGCTTTACGAAGAAGCAATGTTTCCAAACAGTAATCCTCAGCTGCTTGTAAATATGGTCTCCATTTATATGTTTAGGGTGCAAGTGTAACTAACAAATGACTCATCACAAGAAGAGGAAATTCCTCAGGTGTTCAATGTGGGAGATTATCACAGCAGAATGTTTCTTACCTTCCTTAATTTGTAAATTAGTTTACTCTCTTAAGTAAGTCTGATTTCTCCAAAATGAAATACTTGCTCAGTCAGTCAAATCCGTTCATCACTAATGTAATTTCAGCTCTGTTGAATTTAGTTTGGCCAAAAACAAACAAATGAACAAACCAAAATAAAATCTAGCTTCACTTGGGCAAAGAAACAGACATTCTGTTTTCAAGCTAGTTCTGGAGAGAAAAAAAGAATCAATATACAGTATCTGAGGAAAAATTATAAAGGTCTATCATATCTGAGCTTAACTACTTTTGATTCAGCTTAGACAACACTTTTAACATTACAGAACCAGCAATTAGAATATTTCCCAGTGCAATGTTATATAATTATTATTCAATTAACTAGAACTAACTTATTTGGGAGGAAGGATAAATTTGCACCCATTGGGTATAGTTCAAAATCATGTACACAATAGTTTTAATATGGAAGGAGAGGCATGTATTACGAACGTCATGGTGCAGTTCTTAAATTGCAGTACTGCAGTGAAGACTCTGCTCATGATCTGAGTTCAATTCTGGGCTCAAAGCATATGGCTTGAAGTTGACACAACCTTCCATTTTTCCGGAGTCAGTGAACTGAATACTCAGCTGGCTAGGGGCACCATGTGTAGCCTGCATAATTAAATTGTAAATTTAATTTAATTTACAAATCACCCAGAGAGTGCTTTAAGCACTATGGGGTGGTATGTAAGAAGCACACTTTGCCTTATATCCTGACTTTACCATGCACCAGCACTTGACTGCCTTTTAGATCTTTGCATATTGATCCTGAAGGTCTGAAGAGGGTCCATAAATATTCATTTTAGAGTGCTATCATACAGGGATTTGTCCTGTAGTTTGGTCTGCTTTGGGGAAAGGCTGGTTTTAATCCTTTTTCTGGGGACCACATGGCAATCACAAATCAGTCCATTCTTTATCTTTGTCTACTCATACCTTCATGAGGACATGGTGGTGCTGCGGGTTAAACTGCAGAAGCCTCTGTGCTGCAGGGTCGGAAGACCAGCAGTCGTAAGATCGAATCCATGTGATTGTTGCTTGTTCCAGCTCCAGCCAACCTAGCAGTTAGAAAGCATGTAAAAATGTGAGTAGATAAATAGGTACCACCTTGATGGGAAGGTAACGGCATTCCGTGTCTAGTCGCGCTGGCCACGTGACCATGGAAACTGTCTTTGGACAAATGCTGGCTCTATGGTTTGGAAATGAGGATGAGCACCGCACCCTAGAGTCGGACATGACTGGACAAAATGTCAAGGAGGACCTTTACCCGCACCTTCTGTAAGGAGCTACTGTTTTTCTGTTGTGGATAGAATCAATCTATTTTGGTTTGGTTCTGGCATGTGTGATCACCAGGACTGAACAAAAGCAGATGTCATTTTCAGCTTATCAACTTCAGGATATAAATAATTATTAACAAACTGAATGCTTCCTCCATTCCTTTGTGGAAGGGGAAACAGAAGAGGACGCAAACTACCAAGCTATCATGAAAATGATCCTTGGACTGTGAAACAGGATTCATGACC